TCTGCCCGCCACGGGTATCGAAACCCGGATTCTAGCGTTGCAAGTCCGCAGACATACCGCTGTACCACCGGTGGGTATAGACATTCTTATTAGTGTAGCATTTGTGACATTGTCTATTTATCTGTCTATCTGTGTGTGTGTGTATGTGCGTGGATGATAAAGCATTTTATCATGTTCAGTATGACAAATTAAAGAAAAAAAGATCTAGTGATTGATCCAAAGTGTGTATGAAATGGGAGGATACTCTGTTGTCAAGGCCTTCAGCCTGTTGCAAAATATTATCTAGTACTGTAGTGTCGGGTTTCGAGGTGAAGGCCGTTTTCCCAGAAGGCACGGGCTACACAGATTAGGAAATTTTAATTCATTGGAGTCTACACGATTCCAAACTGAATTTTTTTTGTTACTTACTTGTTTTTTTTTTTATTATTCAGAAATTTGAATAGAAATATTTTATCATTTTGTCAAAACTTCAAGAGCGACGATCTTAATAACTGGAATATTTAACTCGTATAATTTTGGAATTTCGTGTTGAGTCTGTCATTACTTTAGTTTTAGTAGTGTTCGTGAGAACGCTACATGTCTAAGGTCAGCATACTAATAAAACTATTTTCGTCAGTAATTAAGGGTTAATGGTAACGGCTTCTCAAATATTTTGCAGCTATTATTTCCAAACATTTTATCTCGATTTTTGCAGTTTCCATGTAGTAATGTTTTTAATCTAAACTTTCAACGAAAAGGCGAAACGTTAAAAAGTGACACACATACACTATTGGCCTCCATTACAAAATTTCAAAAAGCACTTTTAAGCATAATTAGGCAACTGCAGAATGAAAAAACTCCTCGAACATAATTCTACAGGTCATATTCGAGATATTTATATTAATTAGATAATTTGTGTGAAACTGCTTTAAAATTTCTATGAGTAACGTTAATATGGACTTTAGTTTTTCTTTTGTAATATTTAGTTTTCAATCGTAAGGGTAAATGTTTTTTTATTAATTTAGTTGTGATTATTTTCAGTTGTTGAAGCTTTAAGAAACCCAGCAGAAAACACCGAAAGGAGAAAACATATTAGCCATAAAGCAAAAAATAATGATGGCTCTACTGACAAGGATTCAGAAAAGAAGGGCCACAGTGAAGGGCAAACCAATCGCCTAACTGCCCTCCGATGCTGCAAGATTGGAGAGATGGTTGCTAAGAGAGGAATGTTTTGTAATTACGACATACACGCAGACTATAAAACCATGAATAACGTTTACCGTTCTAAGCTGAAACTCCATGGAACCTACGAACATAATCCAACTTTTACCGCGAGATACAAGATCGTTGCCTTACGAGTTGCTAAATGTTTTCACCACAAACTTTTACTGGAGAAATGCTGCCACTATCGCGCAGATTTCATTAGAGCTCGAAAAGCTTGCCGAGAGTTTAAAGGTTTGGATAGACGATCGTGCCGTAAGCGAGTGAAGAAAGAGTATGGTTATTAACCATTAAGGGTTAGATTGAGCCTGCAGGGAATGACGAAATCTGACAATATCCTCAAAGTAAAGAAAATATAAAATAGGCTTAAAATTTTGATAGTATTGAAGATCTCCTTTCAGCCTGTAATTGTTCTAAATATTTATTTTGCAATTTAAAGCCGATTTTAGTGTTAAATATTATACCAAAATCTGAATACTTCTAATCAGGAACGTCGAGAGCCAGCACGGGCCCCGGGGCAAACATGCTCGCCGGGCCCCTATCTCTCTCTCTCTCTCTCTTTTTA